TTATCTTTGTAGGAAGACAGATATATGAAACCAAATCTATAAATGTTTAAGGGAGAAGAGGAAGGAATTCTAGAGTTCGGTAAGTTGAGAACTGGTGTTCTCAGTGTCCTTATAGAATGACAGCCAACTGTAGTCCTTGTAAAATGTGAACTTAACTCTGATTTAAAAAATTAAATATAGGTGCTTTTTGACCTCATAGTAGAATCTAATGCAATTCCCAGATCACATTAAAAATAACCTATCAGCCTTTTGGTGTTTGTTTGCTATTAAATTTTCCAAATGTTTTCTCCCACTATATTTTTCAAACCAAAGCATGGTTGCTGGTGGCTAGCCTACTTCACCCTTATGATGATATCACAGCCTTTAAAACATCAAATCCTGGATCATTTGTTATTGGCATCCCAACTTAGGCGTAGTGTGGTGAGTTCATATGGTAATGGGTGAAGTTGGAACCTTTAACGGTCACCACAGTTTATCTGAATTCTCACTGCAAAGCAAACCTATCAGGAACTTAAGCCTGTTCTGATTGTTTGTATCAATATGAGCAGTTCCTCCAGGCTATGATATGGACTGTGGCGATAACTCAGTTGGTAAAGCATCAGACGTACAAGTCTGAACACCCACGTAAGAGGGCTAGGTGTGGTGGTGGGGATGCAGAGCTGAGCAGATCCTTGGGGGTTTGGTGGCTAACCAATCCAGTGTCCTTGGCTTCTCCTAGGTCCTAGGGACTGACTTTGTCCCTAAACCCAGATGGACAGCTGCTGAGGAATAGCATCCAAGGTTGATCTCTGGCTTCCACGTGCGCGTGTGTGCACACACATACAAGCACACATACTCACGCGCCCCTACATAAGCACACATCTCCAATGTTACTAGATTTACTCTGGGAACCGCTTGACACCTGCCAGGCTCCCTGCGTCTCCCCAGTCATGTGCTGCTTGCCCAGACATCTGACTTTCCTCCTTCCAGCTACTAACAGTTCCTACCAGCTCTCTGTTTCTGTTCTTATTTTTGGCATTTAGTTTGAGAGATGGTATCTGTCCTCCAGTCAGGAATAGCTAAAACCAAGTGTATTTTTACTCCCCTAAACAGTTTATTTTAGAAAATAACTCTGCAAATAAATTTCACAATTTCCAAGCAGTTTGTGTAAGCAGAGAGATCCAAGTTCAAACTGGGTTATGTTTGTCTTGAGTGTTAAATTTGGCTTATATTGCCTTCTAAAATATAATTTATATTAAAAGTCTTGCTGGTTTTATGAGATTTCTAGGACATTCAGGAGGGGACAGAGATGGAGACGATAAACCCCAAAATATTCACAGACTGTCATATCTTTTAGTATATGTGTCTATTTAAATAACTGATGTTTTATCTTTATTATGAGAGTTCTTTTAAAAAAAATCATGACTTAAAAAAATCTTCCCAAAACACAAAATGAAAGAGAAAATGTCTTCCTTGTTGACTCTGAGTCAAACATGTACTCAGTGGAACGTACTGTCAGCTCTGCATTATGGATCTTTTGCAACCACTAAGCGATCTCAGTGTGGGCTGGTTTCTCTTTTCGCTCCTCCTGTTTTCCCTCTGCACTCTGGGGTCTTCTTGTCTCACATCTTGGCGTGCTGATCTACACATTCACAAATGACCTCGTATATTAAGAAACGTGTGGCTTGCGGTGCTTCTGAACAAAGGACCATCACGAGCAAGCCTAGATCCTACTCTGCAGAGAGTTCCCTGGGCTCACATGGTGTACAGACGTCTGAGATGAGTTAGAACTTACTAAATGACATGTCTAATTTCTTTTGTCTGTTATCTCTGGGAGTTCTCTGGCTCTGGCCAGAGAGGGGGAGCTTTTAGCAATAATGGAAAAAACAACCTCTGGGCTCTGAGAGCTCTCAAATCCAGTGGTCATCAGCTCTGTGTCCTTGGATGCGTCTCAACTTATGGGGCATGAGTGTATCTTCACAGGATTCTTTAGGATGGCTGAATGAGACAAGTCACAAGATTTGTAAACCTTAGAACGCTGTCTGGCTTTACCGTATGCTTCAGCTGCTGCTGCTGTGGTAACTGTGATGGGTCAGACTCTAGTTTTCAACCCAACAACCAGACAAACAGCTTTTTCTAGTTGTTTAGATAGGTGAGCAGCAGCCGTGGAGGGCGCACAGGGGTCAGGCAGGTGGTTAGAGGTAGACATGGGCAAGGAGTAACTCTGACAAAGAGAAGTTAGACATACAAGTTTTTGATACCAATTAGAAAATTTCATATGTATGATAAAGATTCAATTCTATTATTCTACCTCCTGTTCCAGCAGAATTTAACACCAGCTACCTCCCACCCCTGACAAGGCAGAAGAACAACACAAAAATGACATAACCTGATTTTTTTCTTGTTTAAAGACCTTTTGGGCTTACTGCCAAATGTTAAAGATCTCCGCAGTCTTCATTTGCTGGCTTCTCACTGTAGCTGAAGGCACGGGGTGCTCCCAGCTACAGTTCCAAGGTGATTGCTCCCATTGGTAGTTCACCAGAGAGGAAGTGAAAAGCTTTAGCAACATCTGATAGAGGGAGCAAAAGGGTACTTTTAGGAGTGTTTTCTGGTAGGCCGACCTTGCTCCAATTGAGGGCCCCACACACGTTTTTTTGGGCAGCAAAAGCTGGACTCAGAACATTGTGTGTGTGTGTGTGTGTGTGTGTGTGTGTGTGTAAGGGCTTTGGGGATGCAGGCAAAGATAGATCTCGGAGAGCTGGGAATGTGTTGAGGGGTGAATATGATCAAAATACACTGTGTGCATAGATGAGATTCTCAAAGAATTTGCAAAAATGATATATTAAAATGTTTAAAGAAAGTGCTTTGCATCAGGAAATGAAGGGTATACATTTGTAAGGCTCCTTTGGAGTCTCAAGTTTCTTTTTTTTCTTTTTTAAATTATTTGTCAACTTGTGAAGCATCTGGGAAAAGTTTGAAGGTGCTTAGTTTTACAAATTAATGCTTTTTTTGGATCCTTGGGAGAATGACTTCTAATGAAAAAGTTGCAAATAACATTTTGGTTTATATAATAAAATTCCATTTGATTTCAGACTCACAAAGAATAGATTTGTAACCCAGTTTAAATTTTGTTCAGAGCGAAATCTCAGTGTAAGGGATCAAGAACAATCAGAATAATACATTGCAAAGAAACAAGAAACTGGAAAACAAGATTCAAATTAGACTTAAATAACAAAAATATTGAATAGTAAATAACTTATGCAAAATATGTTACAAAATCTGGGATGCTAAATATTTGATACAAGTACCGTGACATTTGTAGTTACATTTAAATTGATGGTTGCTTCTTCTATTATTTTGCTTCCCCCCTTTTTTTCCAGCAGATAATTGTTTTATAATTTTGAAATTCTTCTTTCCTGGTGTTGTTCTTAAATTTGCTGTGATCAGTCTGTGTGAAACTGTGTGCATACAGAAAGTATTTCTTAGGAACAGATAAAAAATTAAGTTTGACAACGTTTTTCACTCCCTGTTTTTCTCTACCATTTTTGATTGGTTTGACTTCTGTTAGACTTATGCTTTTGTCTTTTACTTCTGATGTTATGAATATTGTTAAACCATGAAAAACAATGCTTCTCTTCACATAACAGTGATTGACACTTGCAGTTTTATATCCAAACATTCAAAACTATGTGATTATCATGGACAAACTAATATTTCCAACAATAACCTGTCAAGTAGACTAGAGATACAAGTTGTCATTTCAGCTGTGGAAAATTCAGGTTTTCTTAATTTGATTTTAATTTAAAACGCAATCATGTAACCAGTATGTGATTTAGATTGATGTCTAACATCACTTGCTAATTGTTTTGGATAATTTGTAGCTAAATCCCCAAATGAACAGCATGAACAAGGGAACTGTAGACTGTTACAGTCTATTCTGTAGTGAGTTTTCTCCACTAAGCACATCTATACTGAAAGAACTAGATTTTTAGTGTTCTTTCTTGGGTGTGGTACACAATAAGAAAAATTCTGTATTTTTCCTTTGAGATATTCCCCAAATATAGTTTTACCTTCTAAACGAAAACTTGCCTTAAGAACCAGACACGGTTTGAAATGACTTGTGGTTATTTTTAGATAAAACCACTTTGGGTTAATTAAGAGAAAAAAATTGCTACTGTACAATTATACCGTGTCCTCCCCCCTTGGTCTGACAAGAAGGAGATGTAACAGAAGTTTTCTTTGTCACTGTAGCTGCCCCTTTGAAGTGTATCAAAGTCTGTTGCTGTGGTTACAACCTTTGTTTCTAGTGATGTTTGGTCCATGCTTTCCCCTACCCTTAACAATGGCTACTCAAAAGAATGAAATAATGAGTCGTTCATTCGGAAATACTTTGTTAAAATAGCCCTCTTTATCATTACATCTCACTGCTTAGAAACTAGGCTGTAATTCAAGGCAACAGTTAAGTCTTAGAACTGTTAAAAAAAATCTGATTTTTTATAAGAAAGACCTGTCTATGTAATTGAAGAACCTCTTACACGTCTGAACAATTAAAACCTTTTTTGGTTAATGTATTATTTCTGGAACAAGAAGATAAAATTCTATGCAGTAAGCATGATAATGATAAGAATCGTGCATTGTTCGCACAGCACAGGTTTCAGAGTCAAGGTTTCTGGGCACAAACGCAGTAACAAAACAGCCCCTACAAAACCGAGTAACTCTCAAGAACACAAGAAATAATGTTTGTTAATTTAAAATTTTAGAAACGGAAAGGTGTAAAGTAAAGCATAATTAAATTATGGTACTGTACATACCAGTTGTTCCTAGAATTGAAATTTTATAATATGAAAAAATACATTAGCGCTGTACAATTTTTACACATAGGTAGGATGAGTTTTGGAAAAAAATGTTTTTTTTTTCAGGGCCATTCTCTGTCAAAGTCAAAAAAATACTGCACAACTTAGCTAGTTACAAAGTATAGACTTGAAATAATTCATGTCTTCATTTATTTCATGAACCAATCTTGGAATTTTGTTTATTTGAACAGGGAACTTTTTGTTTTGCTTTGATTTTGAGAGTTGCAATGAACAAAATTTCCTCTCTCTGTGGTTGAGGTTACAGTTTGGTAGCAAGTCTGGGCAACCGCTCGGCTCGGTCAAGCCAGCTGTGGTTTATGGTCACTGATGCGGCCAGCTGATGTGATTGTGCTCAAGTCCAGCTCAGTCTCTAGGTGGCTTTCCATCGTGTCTTCCTGTGCGTTCGTTTCAAAGGACTTATGGGAGAGAAGTTCATGATGGACCCCACAGTAACTTATTGTGGGCTGGTCGTATGCCAGAAAGGTGGACACATTCATTGATAAAGGTATCTGGGGAAAAAAAATGACACGAGAAAAGTCAGTTATCAAAAGACAGGCAAGCATCCAGGGCAAGACTTGGAGACTGTGAAGTGTGGATCTGCCTGTCCTTTGTGCTTGTTTCTGTGGCTCGGCGGTCCCCACAGTGTCCTGCTCCTGTCCCCCCTTTTCACAGCACTGAATTCAATATGGAAGCTTGAAGGCCTGAGAGCTGCTTGAGTCTTAAGTAGAACCTGCAGGTAAACAGTAGAACCATGGTTCTAAAAATGATAAAATTTTTCTTCATCGTAAAGCCAAGAAAACGGTTTTCTCTTAACTAGCCTGAAATGTTGTCAAACTAAGTAAAGTATTATTTGGTTACTTATGCAATTAGGGTTCAGTAGAAAAGTGATCCCATATCTTCGCTATGAATCAGCACCACAACCACCCCGACTTCTTCGCCCGCCTGTCCCATTGTCCTGCAGGTTTCTGATGTAGTGGATTCTGATTTCTTACCAGTTTCCAGGTGATGAGGGTGCAGTTCTCACACCTTGCTTTGAGGAGTGTTTTAGAAGAGAACCGTCAAGTCCTCCTGGCTATGTTTACTCATAATCCCTTAACTCTATTTCATTAAGATTGGTCCTTGAAATGTTAAGCTCTATGGTTTGTCTTCCTATCTAAAAGAGCACGAGAACAACCGGAACAAAAGAGACAGATGACTCCCGTAAAGGTCTACCCAGCTGCAAAGCGTGAAGCTACTTTGAAGGGCTAGGGGTCCAGCTGGGGAAAGGGCTTCTCTACTAACCAAAGACAGCAAAAGCTAAAGAGTGAGGCCAACAGATGCACCTACAATGACTATGGACAGAAGGTACACAGGTTAGAGACTACTGCAGTCTCAGGTACAGTCAGATGCCTAAGTCTAGAGGACATTTCTGCCTATATTCTTGGTGAGACAAAAAGTTTCAGAAGCACTGAGGAACTTTTAGCCTCGATCTTACTTTGTCTGCTGTGGTACAGACATTGTTTAAGGGTCCTCCAAAGCTTAAGGCGATGACAGTTACACTGTGACGTACTGAGATGTTAGGAACAACCTGACTCATGATTAGAGCTGGGCTTTCCGGGAACTGAGTAGAGTTAGTCAGTCATTAGAGTACGCTTCCGGATGTTGAGTCCTGTGGCTTTATATAGGGAGAGACAGAGATGCAGCAGAGGGAGCCTTAAAGGGACACACACAGTCCCTGACTCTTACATTTGAAGGTCTGTACTTGGCCAGCAAGAAGGCTATTGGCACATGAAGCCTTGAGACTTTTTACCTCTGGAACCCTTAGTCCGAATTAGACACCTTTATTTGTAACTCAGTCATCTCCCAGTGTTGTGTTACTGGCTCAGAAAACAGACCGCTATAATTGCTCATTCACGTTGCCGAATTTCTTTGAATGAAAACTTGTAGCATTCTTGTTTGGCAGATGGATAAAATGTCTGTGCGTGCGTATCGCACTAAATGCTGCTCTGGCCTCAGCTGAGATTAGAGCATGAAGCCACGTGAGATAGAATGCCGAGTCTTTATTACCTGCTTCTTTATTTTCTGCCTTCTCCTTTCTGGGATCACAACTGCCTCCATCTCTTCTTTCTTCAGCCCTGACCTCTCAACTTACATTTGTCTCTCCTTTCATAAAAAGTGTTGTTTCCTTATTTCCTCTTTCAGTACAAATATTCTTTTCTTGGAGATCATTTATGCTGAGTATTTCAATGTGTCAAATGTCTAGGTCTCAGTCCCTGGAGATAGAGGTATGATCTAGTTCACCCAGTGAAACTCCTGTGTAGTCTTTCCTAGCTTTATGGAATTCTGAAATTTGGAACATGAAATTATATGGCACGTGAATGAAACGCAATCAGAAATGGCATTTGGAAGGCCACACAGAAGATGCATAGCAGTAAAATAGGATACTTGTATCTAAAGGCTCCTCTCTGTTATAGATGAGTTAGCTCTGATAACTAAAATGCTATCGTGTAAAAACAATTGTGCACCAAGAATATATTTACGCTATCGGAGAGAAACGCTTAGAATCATTATTAGGCACATAGATTCACATGAACTTCTGGGAAATCAGGACTGGGTGACGAGCTGTGGCCACACCTGCAGGATTGTTGTTATTCGCCATAGAAATGCACCCTGTGGTGTTTACGGGAAACCTCCTGGTCCACATGGGGTTAAGTCCAGTGTGAAGAATCTGGGAGGCCCATGGGTAAATTCTGGCACACAATATGCCGTGATATACTTATAATCTGTGTGTTTTATGCACACACACATTTTTCTGCTGCATGTAGTATCTAGAGGCTACTGGTCTTTAGAAGGCAAAATCTGACTTTGAATCATAGCAATTAGGTGGCTAACTCTGAGTATATACTGAAAAATCCCACATTTTCTAATTGTTGAGTATATATTATTTGATAAATCTTATACATGGATAATGTTTCAATGTCAGGACATGTTTGCATTTAATATTTCCGAATTTGGGAGAGTTCTTAAAAGATGTTTATATTTTTCCTCTACAACCAAAAGTAGATCTTAAGGATAATGAAATCTTGTTATCCCAAGAATGACATAGAAAGATATAGCAGGGAAGAAAATCTTATAGCTTACCACCTGGCAATACGTCACAGATATTCTTTTCAGGTTGACTTAAATGGTTTTGAAAATAGAAGAGTTAGTATTGGGTATACATGTATATGTGTGTGTTTATACATATATATGCATTAAATAAGTATATATATTTACATGCATTTGTATAGATGTAGATATGCACAATATATACTTATATACATATATTCATGATCTGGTAGCTAAAAGTAGTGCTTCAAATTCATTTAAATGAAACTCTGACAAATGAATTGTAAAGATACGTTGGGTTAGATAACTGTAACATATTTGTGTTGCCAATGTAGGGTATATACACATATCTACAGATGTATATAAATATGGTATTAATATACATATGTATATGTATTTAGTAACAAAGTTTTTCAACTTGAGTTCAAGTAAACTTTCCTTGCATTATGAAAAATTTTCCCTGGCCTTTTTATTGGCAAGGTAAGATCATTTTTTTTTAAAATTATATCAGTGTGTTAAATTTATTTGTTTCTAAATTTCTTATTCATAAACATTTCATACATAGATGAATAACATGTGTCTTCTCTATTGACTGACCAGATAGGCAAAGATACCTTGAGCCCTGGTCATATGTGAGGCACCCAATGTTATTGAACAGATGAAGTGATTCAGGAACTTAGTAAAGTCACTGATTTTCTTTTTAGTTTTACAAATTGCATTAACTTTCAAGTCTTCAGATACTTACTGTAATTTTTAATTAAAGCATATTTTCTTTTTTATATGTGTGTGGTGTGCATCCATGGGTATGGGTGTATGAATATTTATGTAATTTTGCATGTGTGGAGGTATGTATTGTGTAAAAGTGCATATGGAGTCCCAAAGTTGCCATCAAGAACCCTCTTTGGTTGCTCTTCTTTCTTATTCATTGAGTCAGGGTCTCTCAATCAAACCCAGAGCTTGCTGATGAAGCCTTGCTCTGGGGATCCTCTGCGTCTACCTTCAGAGGATGGAAACTATGCCCACCCAACACTTATGTGGATTTGGGGGATTCAAAGTACCTTAACTATTGAGACATTTCCCTAGATAATTACTTTAAATGTGATTGCCAACCTGTAGCCATGTTTTTTCCTTATCACTTATAATATGAGAATTATTTTTTCTGATTCCCCATGAAAAGTACTACACATATTTTTGATGGATTTCCTTCTTCATACCAATATCATAAGATGCACTGAATACTTCATTGATGTGTGATACTAGATCCTTAAATGAATCAAAGAGGGAAAGCCAGATGCAAACAGTATAACATGCTCACACTTCAAGTAATAATACCAGACTCAATACTTCCATATGTAGTACTGTGTATATTGGGTTTTTACCAGAAAGAGTGTCTTTACCTTCCCATGATGGGTCAGTTGCCTGTGAACACAGCAGATTGGAGTAGAAGGGAGCCTGCTTCATTTGTTTAAATGATCTAAAATACCAGCATGTAAAAACTTCATCGACTTTTGATGTCAGGTAGAACGCTGGATGCAGAGGTTTAGGCAACTACTGGGGCTCCAGCCATCTGTTCCGACTTTGGATTCCATCAGTGGGACCGATTCTTGTACTGCAGTGTGGCTGATGGTTGAGTGGTGATGGAGAAACCACCAGCTGGCATTAAACAAACATACTGGGAGGGTCAGAAGCAACGTATACCAACCCCATCTGCTACCAAGTTACAGCCAGGCAGCGCCTGCAGTTCCTTCACAGGCTTGTCAAGTGTGACCTTTTCCTTTTCTGTTTTCAGATTGACCTGTGCACCCCCCCACCTCACCTTCCCTCTTCTTCTTTCCTCTCTATCTCTTATTTTCTGTCCCTCACTCCCTCTCCTTTTCCGTCTGGGTCTTCTGATATGCCCCCCACTCTGGGCTTCAGGTATTCAGTAGTGAAGTACTGGTAAGTAAGAAAATAAACAGAATTTCCCTGGTTGCCAAGTAGCTAGTGGAAACGGTCCTAGGAAGGGCAATAGGTCATTTAACTTTAATAAGTTCTCCAGAACCACAGCTAGACTTTCTACAGAATCTTCCCTAAAACATTGAGAAGATTCTTCCTACTCTTTCTTTGAGAGAACGGTTTCTTTCAGTACATTTCTACCTGATAAGACTCTCAATTATGATTACTTCAAGTTTCCTTTAATCCCTTAGGTCACTGTTTTCTAAGTGAGGTGGTTGTTATTGGGATGTAATTCGTGGAGACTCAGGTATATGAAAACTTGCTTTCATAAAGAACCCGAATTAAGGAATCATGAAGGGCTATGCTAACAGAGAGCTCTGTTTAGTTACTTAGGTGATTTCCCTTAGGGAAAAACTACTTTAATTCCAATAAGTTAGTGTTATTTTGACATCAGTGCTATTTGCCTTAGAAGTGGTTTTTCCAGTAA